CTGGAATCCAATCATACCTACCTGGTAAAGAACCTGGTGAGAAAAAGAGCCAGACTGCAGCACTCAGAGAAGCTGCCAATGCAAGAGCAGTGGCAGGCGGTGGTGACTGACGTTGCCTAATTGCTCTGTCGGCTGGGTGACTGCTTGATAGCTAATCTAGCATCTAATCTAGGCATCAGATTAGTTCTGATGAAGATCCACTTGATTCTTATCTGATAATATAGTGTTGGTGACATGTTCAGTTGTCAATGGTGTTTCAAGGGGGTCAGTCACCATGGTCTGGCTTTAAGGACTCAGAGCAAGTTTCTTCCCTAGTAGGAATAATGATCTGCGAGAATTAATGTCAGAAACTTCTCCAGTAGTTGTCAAGACTGGAAACAGTTAATTCTAAGAAGAACTCTCCCAGCTCACAACTCAGCAAGATTTATTAGAAGTAGATTATACTAGTATGCAAGAATTCTGAAGGGTATTCACCTTTCAAATAAGTCTAAATATAAATAAATTATGGGGGCAATGTTATGACACTCCCTTCCTTTGGATACAAGGGAGAACATTCTTATTGGTTTTGAGAAGGGTACCACTTGCTGCCAGGAAAGTATTTTGGAAATTGTTTCCAACCTTACCACCACTGTCTGAACCAGCTCCTAGACCTGAGAGATGAACAGGAGAATAGTGAAAAACAGCGGTGATCCCGGAAGGAGAATGTTAAAAAAGCAAAGGCCATAAGAAGTTTTAGGACTGGAAAAAGATATGTGGAAAAAAAGAGGCAAAGGGACCAGGTAAATGCTCTGGAAAGGTCCCACCTTAGAGCCCTCTCTGAGGGTGAGAGTCTTAGCGAGCTTATAATACTGTAAATTGCAAATCCCCAAAGGGGATATACTTAGTATCTGATGGGAGGTAGCTCTTCAAACTGAAAACCGGCCGCTGGATTCCACTTGCCACAACTGGCTTCAGCAAATATACAGAAAGTGAAGTAGCCATTTGAAGCTGATTATCCTCAGTAGAAGCAAAGGGACCACCTCAGCAAAGTGCTTTGCTGCATTCAGGCAAACTGGTACACCTCCATGAAATCTAGCCCAGCTCTGTATTGGCTGAAATGGCATTTATAAATCATTGACCAACATCCTCATAGAGGATATCTGTTAATATCCTATATTAATAGCTCTTAATCATGACAGATTTTGAAGGCTTCACAACAGAGATGTAGAATGCTAGTTGTAAGATGATGTGGACAAAAACAAGCAAAGGTACATAGTCATTTTCTTTCATCTGCTCATCCCAGTTAAAAAGGAGTGCTGGATCCTTGGCTGGTAGAGAGAGAAAACAGTTTTCTTATAAAGTTATGCCAAGACTACATTATTCACTTACCTAATGCTGCTCCTTGGGAATGGCCAATATAATACAAACAGTCTTGTTTTGTTTTCTGTAGGATGAAGTTTATTGTTGCTGGTATATCATAAATTGCCATTTCGTGAAAACTGTAGCACAAAAATACATACAAAACACACCTGTAATTTTATTTGCCTATATTATTATCTTTGGGCATTAGGGTCGAAGCACCTGATCAAGGCCCACTGATCACGTCTCAGCAATATTTCGAACCATAATTACCACACAGAGGCTGTACTTTTCCCCATTTTTTTAAAAAAGAAGAACTCAAAGTAAACTTACTCAGAAAAACGTCTGCCTAGCATTGGTGACGGTGACGGTGGTTTACAGTGAGGCATTTTAGAAATAGGAAATTGCAACAGGAATTTATAGCTGGACCCCGGTTGCAGGGATAGTATGGCTTTGAATTATTCACAGAAGGGAACTTGTAAGCTTCCTGGTGTAATGTAATAAGGTGAACAGAAGAGCAAAGCACAGCTAGGGTGATCACATTTCTAGCTTTCCTTTTGGCCCAAAAGCTGAAGCTTTTTTTGTGAGAGGCTGTCACTTACAGTTCAATGATCCACAACATGGGAATCAGCACACCTACCTGACTCCTTGTTTAAAATGAATGTTCCTTCTGCCCATCCCTGTTTTCTAAGTCACCATTCCATGTTGTTCAGGGACACCTTATTTGACTTTAATTCTACTTCTTGTTACGTAGCATATGACTGATTGCAGGAGGAATATTAGAAGATTATTTTATTTGTGTGATAATGTGACTATGTACATGAAATATGTGAAATCAATTTTTTTCCCTATCCTATATGTCTTGATTATCAAAGGACCCTAGTCTAACCTTAATTTCATATTCAAAAGCTTCAGTAACCCATGATAATGATAATCCCTTAAACAGATTGAAATTGGCATATCTTTTTTCTCCCTACATTCTGTATTCGAAATTCATATTTTTTTGCCAAGAAAACCCCAAGGTTTTTAATGAAGAAAACTAGAATGGAAATTTATGTGGTTAAACAAAATAATATTTCAAGCTGAGTACATGATGCCAAATCACTTCATATATTTCAAAATAGTTATTGCAATTGGTAATCTATTTTCTATTTTTCTGTATTTCTACTTTGTGACACTGCTTTTTGAATAAATCTTTATTGTATCCATTTAAAAATTGTTCTATATAATATAGAAATATTTATTCTTAATTTATATAAACCCTTCCAACACCATTTCCTAACAAATTGCTAGACTTTGACCAAATGTTTTCCCTGTCAACTCTCCTTGGAATTTACCTGAATTCCCAGAATTCTTGCTGGTCAATCGAAAACTCCTGGTGTCTTCTAGACCAAGATGTCCCTCTGTTATTTATTATCCAGACATCATAGCCAGCATCTGCCAGAAAAAATCCCAGGCTGTTGCTAGGAAGATTTGCAATCCAACATCTCCCTTCAATCATCAAACCATGTACCAATAAAACGATTGGTCTAGGCCCTGCAAAAGAAACCAAGAAGACATCATTTATTGTATTATCTGTAAGTACAATCCCATGCTCCTCCAGAAACAGTAAACAGTAAACAGAAACATTTGAGTAAATGCACTCTGCCTTGTTCAGTCACTTTACAGCCTCACACTTACATTAGGGTTGTGCAAAGACCTGGATTCAAAGGGCAAAATATAACCTGGACACATGTGGCATTTGTCAAGGGCACTCTATACCAAATCCAAACCCCCCCAGGATCTGCAAGGCCAGCCACAGGAACCCAGGAACAGATGCAGCT